AATCAACTTTTTCTTGTTTAACCCACTACTTTGAGTTTTCTGTCACTGACAGTCAAACCTAATCCTCAACATTAATTTAGCAGGTAAAGGCAAGGTCAGGGAAAGAAAGGACATGTAGTAGATTTTGTCAAGTTTCAGTTGATGAGGGAGTCATCAACAGAGAAGATGGTTAAAGCCGCGATTAAATGCCTGCCAACGGGAAAGAAAAGAGAAGTGAGAGTAGATCTTCTGGATACACCCTCTTTTAAGAAGTGGGAGAGGCTCAGCAGAGTGACTCAGTACTAAGGGAGCCCAAAGTCACAAAGGCCAAGAGAAAAGAATTATGTCAAGAAGCAGGGAATCAATTAGTGCCAAGGGATGGTGAAGGAGGAGAACCTAGGAAAAGTGGTGAGGAATTGCTTCGAGGAAAAATAATAGAACCAGAGTCTAATCTGTTCTGCCATGGAATTCTGAGTAGTCTGGATGAAATGTCTGTTCTTGAGCATACAGGGTGAAAAAATATGAATACAAAATGAAAAACAATCATAAACTTCTCAAAAAGCCAGATGGTTCAGACCAGCAACTCTGAGTTAAAACCTCAGGGAATAAAGGAAATAAGATAATTCTCTAATTACTTTTTATTTAACAAAACCTCTTGCTTTCGATTGTTAATTAGACACCAAATCTGCTAAGAAAAACAGATTCTGAACCATCCATAGTATTGAGAAGTCCAAAAGGCATGTATTTCCTTCTGGGTAAACGATGGCTGCAAAATGAGCCCAAATGAACTTAATCAGTGCCACTGAGAAGAGGCTGGCTTTTCCCATGTCACTCAACCCCTGCTCTTTTATTTCTAATGTTCTTGTCAATTTTGCAGAAATCAAACACAGGGGAGAAAAGAAAACTGAAAATGGCTGTAACAGATACAGCTTTACTAGCGTCAAGCCAAGTGAAAGGGACCACGGCCGGTAGCAATGTCAAGGTTCCAGAGATTAAGAAATTATTTTCTCCCCTTTCAGGTATGGAAAAATGGAGTCTAGAGTAAAGATAACTTTTCATGAGTGCTGACCAGAACGCTTTAGCTTCTGTGACTATAGGAGGTCTTTTTAGTGAATTTTCTTTTTAAATCCAAATGTCATCAAGTGAAGTTTGTGGCTTGTGACGAGCACTCTTTTTAAAACAAAGAAATAGAAGAGAAAATAGAATATATCAAGCTATATGACAAGTAAGGATAAGTTTTATTTCATGAAACTTTGTGTTCAGTTCTGTATTTGTATGTCTTAGGTTGCAATGTAAAACATGGGGTTTCTTACTGAGTGAATTATAGTAAAAAAAAAAAAGTGTGTTGGGAGACAGGCCTAGTAATCAGACTAATTTGTAAAGAGGGTTGGCATTCATCTGAATTGAAGAAAACAGCTGGCTAAATTAGCAAAGAAGGATTTAAACTATTTGTTTGGGCCAAAATAATATTAAAATAAGAATCTCTCAGTGGGCAAGGAAGAGATAATTTTCCACATAAAATTAGAAATAGGAAGGGAAAAGGAAGGAAGGAAGGAAGGAAGGAAGGAAGGAAGGAAGGAAGGAAGGAAGGAAGGAAGGAAGGAAGGAAGGAAGGAAGGGAAAAAAAAGAAAAATACAAAGCAAAAGAAGAAAAATCGGGAACCTTTTTGGATGAACATTCCGAGATATATACTCTACTTAAAACAGAACTTCAGATGCAGATAGAAAAAAAAAAAAAGCAAGAAAGTATTTATTCCCAAGAGGGGGAAATCTCCATGAAGTTGAAATGATTCCTGAACAGCAGGGCCTGTTCGTAGGGGCTGTAACAGGCTTCTGATGAATAGAAACAATGATAATTAACCTCTGTTAAATGCCAATTTATAACCTCCGGCACATTTCAACGTCACAACAACTTTATGAGGTAGACACTAACATTTCTCCTGCAAGGTGGGTGACAGTGGATTAAATACATTAAACATTAAAAATAGTTATAGGAAAATATTCCTAGCTATGGGTATTAGACTGTGGAACTTTCCCCCCTCAAATTCCTGATGGGCATGGTTTCCCATTCAGAGCAGAGGTTGAGGCAGGCAGTTCTAATATCTAATAATTCTAATCAGAATACAGACAAGTCCAAAACGTATATGTAATCATATTGCTGATGTGTTTCTTCATCAAAACCAAAATAATGAATATTTTGCTTTCTTCTGAGAATGGCAAGTAAGTGAACATGTCATCCTTGTGTGGTTTTACTCCTGCAATTCTTTTGTATTATTAAATGCAATTATTCATATTAAAAAGAATAAGTATTAATACGAATGATAAAATCAAATCTGATGACAGGATAAAAATTCAGTTAAAATTAGCAGGTCTCCTCATCTCAGTCCCTTTTTGCTCCAGCAGCATGTGATGAGAATTTAAACAAAGGTCTTTCTCTCTATACTTTATAGAGGCCTTTAAATTATAACTTCTGCTAATCCTATTCCCTGTGGAGGGGTGTCTTTTGCCTTTTTTCCTAGGGCCGATCACTATACTCTTTTCAGAGATATGGAAGAATCAAACTTCATTAATTTCCATAAAAGCGCACTCATCTCACTTTTCAAAGTAATGCATACAGCACTGCACAAATCTGGGTTACAAAGTTTAACCGAAAAGGTACTCGTGATGAAATGAAAGAGGATAAAGTGCACAGTTTTTTCAGAAAATGCTACTTAGGCTTACGCTGCCATGGATATTCTGCTAAAGCGCTAAGGTCTGGAGGTTTAGAACCTATCAGGAGAAATGTGCATTTCTGGGCCAGGGCGCAACTCTCCTTTCCTCACTGCGTTGGCATTCATGAGGGCCTTTATTTATTTTTGTATGAGGTGAAGCCACACTGTCGGATTCCTAACGCTTTTAGTGGGTGGCCTCGACTGGAGATTGGGAAGTGAGGGATCAAGGTCCAGCCAGCTTTGCACGAAGACCTTTGGAATAGAAAGCAGGCCTGCGGAGTCAAAGTTGCAGGCAAGGAGGAGCGCTCAGCACGAAGTTGGCATAGGCAGACGGGTTCCCGTCCAGCTCCCCTACTCCGTAGCCATCTGCCTGCCTCTCAGCCTCGGTTTCCTTCCTTCCCTTCCCAGTGAAACGGGAACGGGAGTTCTCTGCGAAGATTAACCAAGGCAACCTATGTAAAAGGCCCTGGCATATGTCCACGTTCCATTTGGGTCTTTCTCAGATCAGCCGGGGCGAGTCAGAGCCCGCACCGCAGGCCGGCGAGTACAGCCTCGCCGAACCCAGTCTGGAGGCGACCCGAGCCCGTTACCTGATTGGGTTGAGCGGCGGGTTTCGGAGGCGAATCAGCGCCAGGCAGCCCCGCAACCGCGAATACTCAGCCATGTTTCCTCGGTGCCAGGGTCGCCGCCGCCTCCCACCGCAGTCAGAGCTTCTTTCCCCGCGCGCCCGGCTTTTTTTTTGCGGCGCCGCCTCCCGACGCCCATCCTCCGTCGCGGCTCTACCCCCGTTGCCGGACCCCTGCCCCGGGCTCTGCAAACGCTCATCCCCTCTTTCTCTGTATTGGCTCCGCTCCCTGCTCCTACCCCCAAGTCGATTGGGGAGGACGATGGAAAATGGGTGGAATTGCCAGCGAGTCGAGGTTTGCAATCCCCTGGCCCACTTGGAGGAGTCAGACACAAGTCATTGCTCATGTCTCCCTAGTCTCCGTTGAACACAGAACTTTCTGCTTTGCGACTACCTCCTACCCCTATTCTGCCCCTTGGGCAACCCTCTGTAAAATTTAAAGTTTAAGAGGGCGCTCACTCTCAGGTTCCTGCAAGTGCCGACCCCGCCTTGCTCCTCCACAACACAAGGGCCCACGGGTTCCCGTCATCTGTCATCTAGCCCTCCTGTTTGGTGTCCGCCTGTGGGACTAGGTACACAGGGAGCGGATACCATGCTGATCTTTCTGTTGCTGTCTGTGTAAATAATAAACTGCCTGAGTCTATCCTGGGCTCGTATGGGCCGAATCTAAGTGTGGCAAGCCAGTTTAGCAGATGCTAACATGCTGGTGGCGCTCAGTGATGAGAGTATGGGGGGCCACTGCACAAAGGGTCAAGAGTTCCATTCCTGGTCAAGGGCATGTACCTGGTTGCCGGTTCTATCCTGGGCCTTTGGGGCATGTGTGGGAGGCAACCAATGGATGTGTCTCTTCCCCGCTCCCCCGCCCTCCGATCCTTCCACTCTCTAAAAATTAATGGGTAAATATCCTCGGGTGAGGATTGACCAAAAAATAAAAACAAAAAAATTGCACAATGTCATGGGCAGTGCCTTTATGTTTACCGTTCACATGTCTTTATGTTTATCTTCAGGAACTGCTTACATCAGGTAGAGCTCATAGGAGCTGATACTTAACCCCTCATTTCTGGGTAAATATAAGAAGTTTGCCAGGAGAGAGGGGACTACTGTGTGAGAAATGAACTCAACAGTGTCTGGACCAGATCATTCAAATGGTTAAACAAAAAATTAAAGATTTTTCGAAGTGAGAGGCAACAAGCATTTATTTGAGATAGAAAACAATAGCTTTTTGGGGAATCACTGACTCAGGCAGAAAACCAAATAGTGTTCCAATTAGAATACAAAGGCAAAGGGTATTTATGGAAAGGAAAAGAGTGAACTTACATCCATAAAAGGAAAGCATTTCTATTGGTGCAGAAAAGCTAACATAGTGATGCAAATTTTAAAAAATATTTTTAATTTTCAGTCCAGTCATCATAGTATCTGTTTTCTTGCTATGTTTGCAAACAGTTCTTTGGGACACAATGTTGATTTAGGCCCGGTCCAAAGGTTATTTTGCCCTGTTTTAACATTCCAAAGGTTTGAGGCTTAAGATGTACAAGGCAATTCCTCTGGATGGCTGCTCTGGCTCCATTTTAAAGTGGCTACATTTATATTATTTTAAACAAAATGATCATCATAATTGTGTAGTATCTACTAGGTTACATTGCTCTTGTCTCTTCTGGACTGGAATTTTCCTACTCTTTTTTTTTACTTGCGAGTGAAGGTCTTGAAGGTGGATCTGCTTTTACCTTATTAACACCTTGAGACAAATTTGGGAGATAGAGGTGGTGGTGAGCATTTGGAAACTTCACCTCTGGGCCTAACCCTGCCACTAATTATATGACTTTCAATCCCTTGCTTCTCTGGATCCAATTTTCTTTACTTGTAACATCAAGAAGTTAACTAAATTATTATCACTAAAAAAAATGTACAGTTCTAACATTCTTTGATTTTTGTTGTTGTTGTTACAGCTGTTCCCTCCTGTTTTTTCCTGGGTTGACTTTCTTCTGTCCATAATTTATTAAGTATCTTCATGTTTTTGAGGATAGGGTCTGGGTTTTATTCATCTTTCCCCCAGTATCTGGCATAATAACCAAGCAGGTGATTTCAAGTTCCTATTAAGATACCATCTTTGGCCCTGACAGGTGGTTAGAGCAGATTCAGGTCAAGGGCGTGTACCTGGGTTGCAGGTTCCATCCCGCCTGGCCAGGCGCGTGTAGGAGGCAATCAATCGTGTGTCTCTCTTACAAGGAAGTTTCTCCCTCCCCCTTCCACTTTCTCTGAAAAATCAATGGAAGAAAAAAAAAATCCTCGAGTGAGGATAAAAAAAAATACCATCTTTGTCCGGAGGAGCTCACAATTTAACGGGGAAAGTGCTAAGCATCATTAAGTAATCACTTCAGTAAAAGCTGTAGAAAGGGTAACAGGAACACGGGTTCCTGCCTTTCTTATCACTTACATGGTCCAACAGGGAACAAGAGAGCTCTTGTAATAGTTAACGCTTGAGTGCTTTCCTTGTGCCTCCGCGTTCCACGTGTTAAGTCTCAAGTCACACCCCCCAACCCTGTGTCCTCCAGCAGTGTCACCTGCTCCCCACTGGAGGACACAGGCACGGAGCTTACGTAACCCGTTACCCCTGAGAGGCAGGTTCGGCACCGCGCTCCACCGGACAGAATCGGAAAAACCAGATGAATCCCAAGAACAAACTGGTGATTTCCCCGAGGGAACGGACGAGTTTGGAGGAGTGATGGGTTCAAGGTACAGAAGGAGCAGAGGCAAGGGTCTACTGACGAGAAGGCTGCAGAAGTTGGCACAGGAGTTTGAAAAACAAAAAGGCGCTTCTCGGGGCTGCATTACTCAGCGGCGACTAGGAAAGCAGGAGGGAAAGAACCGGTGAACGACACCTGCGGAGCCCCCCGGATCCCGGGGACCCAGGAACCGGTCGGAAATGACATCAATAGAGAGGCTGGGCGCTCAGCGGTACAGCGGCCTGGGGACCACCGGCCGGAAGTGAGGCAGCGGAAGTCCCGCCCCGGAGGCGGTGCCGGGTGTGAGGGGCGTCGCGATGGGCGGGGAGAAGCTTCGCTGGTCCTCCAGGAACCCTGGATCCCCGACAGGTAACCTGCTGGCCGAACCTGGACCCTGGCGAGGCTCGGGGTTCGGGTTGGTGGCCCAGTTTGCTCGGGGCCCCACGCTCGGGCCGGGGGAAGTGGATCTCACGTGAGGGGGTGGCCCGGGGACAGGCTCCTGGGCGTGGGACTCCTAGGGTGATGGGGATACGAGAAACTTTGGGGACGGGGTCGTGAGGGCCGAGGTCGCCGAGGAAATACCGACTGAGTCTCCAGGACTCGGTCACGGCTGCGGGTCGTGGGCTCCGGAGCCTTGGCGCTCGGGGATGGAGAGATGGAGCCTGGGCGCCGAGGTGCGCTGAGCTAGAGTTCAGTTGCCGCCTGCACTGAGCCCAGTGCAGCTCGGCTGGCAGCGGGCAGGGACTTGCCTTTTCATCTCTGCATCCCGTGCTTTGCCACTATGGGCATCCTTCAGATGCCGTCGGGTAGGGACTGAGGAACGCACGAAGCTGGCTGCCGCACCGGGGGTGGGGGGTGCGGGTGGGGTCGAGGGGACCTTGTCCCGAATTGTAGTGCCCCTGCCTCCGAATGTAGAAGTGACTCCAGCGTGGTTCGTTCACCAGTGGTTTATGCGGATGCCGGTGTGGTAGACATTCCGGACATTGTTTTGTGGTTATTGAAATTTAGAAATGTGCCTTCATATTTATTTTATTTTATTATTATTTAATTTATTTTATTGTATTGTATTTATTTATTATTTATTATTTTATTTTATTTATTTTATTTATTTTATTTTATTGGCATGGGAAGAGAAGGCAATTAATTTGACTTCTTTCAGGTTTCTTCACTTTTCTGGAAAGAACTTCCCGATGAATGATACCGGGGAGGAGAGTTGGCCATCAAATGAGAAGCTGCAGCTTATAGCCCTGAGCTTCTAATTTGTGTTCTGAGTGCTTTCTTCTCATGAATATGAACTCATTTTCCTTTTTCTTATTATTTTCTTTTTTATATTGGGGTTCCTTTACATTTGAGATGTAAATGGGAATTATTTCATAACCAAGATGAAAGTAGTAATTTATGAAAATCCAATCAGAAATTTCACCTGGTAGGTTCACATAAGGTTAACTCCTTCCAAACAGTTGTAGGAGGCCTCAGAGAGAATAAATCGCAGAAGATTAAATTGTTTCCTTTGTAAACTATTTGTTCTGATGTCTTAACTGTGATGAAAAGTGGGAATAGATATAAAGAGCAAGTACTGTAACCAGATTGGTGTTGGTTGTCAAGCTGTGTAATGGGATCTGAGCATGAATCACTATCTAACTGCAGTCCCAGGAGGTTCTAGATCTTATTATTAGATTGGATATGATGCAGTAGGCAAACCTGAATTTATGGCTTTGTTTTTGTTTTTGTTTTGTTGCTTTTGTGTGTGTTTTTTACAAAGAAGAAACTAGTAAGCATTTTTAGATTAAAAAAAAATCTAAGATGTTCTTAAAAATAGGTTGGGAAAAAAAAGAAGTAGACATGTAAATAAATATTGCAGTCATTTAAATTCTAAAAGTTTGCCTGCCTTTCAAACTTGTTTTCCCAATGTCTGGAAAGTGTTGGTATCCAAATCACCCCCATCATTGTATGTTGTTGCTTTGCTGTCAACTTTTCAATGTATATAAATATGGTATAAAGTTAGGTTTTGAGATCCTCTAGATTTACTTGAATATTAATGTCTTACTTAAAAATAAAGTTTAATTTTGCTTCCTCAATCTGCTGTTCAATGTCATATCCACTTACTTTGCACATCTAAATGTCTGTATTCATAATGGTAACTATTGTAACTAGTATTCATAATAAATTGGTATCCAAGTGGTGACTTAGGTTTGTGCATTGACATTCTTGAGGTTTTCAGTTTTGCAGAACACTGGTATCCATGGACTCTAACATGGACTTCATTTAAAGAAATCCACGGACCATTAACGGACAAAAACATGAGTCATTTTGTATTGTGGCATTCAAATCCTAGCACTTTGGGAAAGGTAAGTTACTGACTGTGTTTTATTTTAGATGAGAGAATAGCTCTGGATTGGAATAAGAAATTGTGTGATTGTGATTGAAAAATATAGGCTGAATCTGTTTAAATTAAGTTTTAATGTGGACCTTCCAAAGAGAGGTTTGCTCTGTGTTTATGAAGCAGTCCTTACTATTTCCCTCTATATCGTTCCTGAAAGATTACTACTTTGCTTTCTTTTTTCTTTTCTTTATTTCTTTCCCCTTTTTTTTTTTTTTTTTTTTTTTTTTGAGAGCTTCTTTCAACACTGGTAGTCTGGTAGAGTCTTATCAACCTATGGGTACCATATAGCAATGAGACCTCAAATAGTCATTTAAATAATCTTACATCAACTTTGGTTCTAGAATAATATAAGTCTCAAATATTCTGGCCAGTTTTATGCCTTAATCTTAGGTTGAAGCAAGAAGAGGCCCCAAAATCTCTTTTTTTCCTTATCCTGTCTTATTAGTGCTATTTTCTTTTTTGTTCTTCTTTTCAAAAAATCTCTCAGATGATTCATTCTCCGGGCCTTTTATCTTTCTATCCCAGGGGATAAATTTTCTCTCTTTTTCTTTTTTACCTTTCCTAGCTTAATTAATTTGTTAATTTTTACAACCTTAACTTCTAATTTTGTTTGGCAACTGTTAATCACTAAGCTTTAAACTTGTGGTTTTCCTTATCTCCTTTGTAGATACACTGGCTTCTTATTTAGAAATTGTTAAATTCTAAAATCAGACAGTAGTTCCAGGAATTCATCTTTTGGATATATTTGTACTTGCACACAAAAATTTGTATATAAAGATATTCATCATATTATTATTTTAAATAGGCAAACAAATAAATAAGTAAAAACTACAAGTAGCCTAAACACCCCCCACCAAGGTATGATTGAATAAATGCCTTAATATAATATAGTACTTGGCAACTCTTAGAAAGAATGAAGCAGATCCATAGGTGGAAATATGGAAAAATCTCTGTGAGATACATTGTTAACTGAGAAAAACAATATAGAACTGTATGTACAGTATGTTTTCAAAAGCATACATTTATATATGCATGCAAAATGTCTTTAAATCTATATAATACACTATTATGTTATATTTATTCAGATAGATAGATAGATAGATAGATAGATACATGATTGACACAGGTACTCCTGAGGAATGAGACTACAGGTCTAGAATAGGAAGACTCATTTTTCTGTATACTCTTTCTGGTAGATTAATTTTTTTTATGTGAACATGATTTCATTTTTACAATACTAAGAAACAAACAAACAGCAAAGCTTTAGACTGGTTTTATAATTAAGGGAGCCTACTACTATTCCTTATGACTTTTGCCCTTATAATTACGTGCACTAGTCAGAGGAATGGAGTTGCATAAGTGAGGTAAGTTTTTTTTACAGAGCGGCGTGGAAGGTTTGGTGATATAATAGGTTTTTAACCTTGACATTAGATTATTACTCTTAATAAGGATTTGTGATGAACTAAGTGCTTAGTATTAGAGAATTCAATACAGCTATATAGTTTATAGCATGCTGCTGACTTCATGAGGTGATGCGGATGATACTTTCATTTGCAAGCTAGGTTTCTATTGCATTGGCCAGGTTCTTGCCAATGAGCTTCTCATTAGTGAATGGGATGGGCTTTGTTTTATTCAAATTGCTATTTAGGTACTCTACTCTTTACATAGATCTTAGTTATTATTTCACTTTGTTTTGATTTTTAGAAATGGCCTAAGGCATTTCAAAGAATGGCTTGTTCTCTCTATTAGTAAAATCATAAACTAGAAAGATAATTTAGATATATATGGATAGTCTTATTCTGTACTGATGATACTACTTTGAATTGGCTGATGATTTGCTTTGGGATGCAGCAAAATTTCTGGTGACTTTTACTTCTCCAGCCATCTTTGTCTTTCCACACTTTCACTGTGGGAACTTTGGAATAATAGTAATAGGTGAGTAAAATGAGTTAACAAGAAGTTTAAAGATATAGTAATCTTCATTTCATTTGCGATCTGCTGAGAATGAGCTATGTAAGATACCTACCCATATGATACCACAGATTGTGTAACTTGTTAAAAATCAAAATGAAGGCCACTAATCTAGGGACTGCATCATGATTCATGGAATAGGACAGTTATGGTATGTCAGGTGTTTTATACCATAGTTTGACAGAGTATTTTTCTTATAATCATTGCAGTTAAATGATGCTTTGCTTTGCTTCTTGAGATCCTTGGGTTTAATCACAACTAGCCACACAGTGAAAAATCATTGAGCAGAATGCCTAGAGTGGGACTCCTCCTTATTCTTGCTAACAGAATGGATAGCAAGGAATTGAATCCAAGGGTTGATTGTGTTTTCTGGGTCTTGATGAATATGGTAAATGTAACATATAGGAAAAAAAGGAGATGAGCATGAAGGTAAAACTTACATGTAGATAACATAGACATGGGGAAGATACATGTATGTATATATATATGTTTATGCATACATATATGCGGGTCTATTCACATAGATATATAATACATTGTGTATATAAAATGTGTATATATTATTTTACACATAAACTATTTAAAAATTTTTTCTGGAAAACAAAAAATTCTAGGAAGATACTCAATTAATCCAAGAGGAAAAAAAGGTCAGAATTTTAAGGCCTCAGAGCTGGGCCTGTCATAGGCTAGCTCATGATTGTGAAAGTAGCTTGAAGAATTTTGTCTGTTTTAGTATCATTACAGGAAATAAGTGATGGGAAGGTAGATAAAAGCCTAAGAGTGAGAACATTTAAATCTAGCACTATGTTATGGTTAAGGGTATCTTTAAGATTCTGTTTTGTGGTATTTGGGAGGGAGGGATGGCAAGAAGAAGAACTCAAAAATTGATTGCTGTTCAATTAGAATTCGAGCTATGTCCGTAAGTCTTTCCTAGTATTCCAATTGTGTATGACCAAGATGGATTAACTAGATCTATTAACCTACAAAACATGAATGTCTAAAAATTGGTTTCATTGTTTGATAAACCTTGAAGGAAAAGAGAATTGTTTTAATCATTTTTGTGACTAAATGAAAGGGCAACTGTGATGATCTAGATTGAGGGGACTGGGACTATTTTGTTCAGAAAATAGAAGACTTTAGAAGAGTTGGAGAAACTTCATAGGGAGTACATTTGTTTCTGTTGAGGCCAAAATTAATTCTGGCTGAGAGAAGGTATAGAGTTTGTCAACAGTGGAGCAGATTGTGTCAAGAGGCAGTGAACTGCAGGTCATTAGGGTTGCTTAAGCGAGGTCTGAACATCAGCAATGCTGCGGAGGGGATTTCTCAATGTATGGGAGATCGTACTAGATTGATAATGAAAGTTGCTTTCAAACCTAAGATTTTTTTTATAGTGCAATAAAGTGATTTTTAAAAATAGCACAAGTATCTATTATCTCTATATTTAAATACTGATAGGTAACTTATCCCTGGTCATTTTTCCACCAAGCTCCACTTACCCATAACCAGGAAATAAATTTAAAAATTAACCCCAAATATAAGACACACACTATATGCTTTTCTCAGGTCCTTACTCAGTTTATTTACTTAGACACAGTTCTAACAGGCTTAGTTAACTGGCACCTAACTTCACAGTGTATTAGAAGCAGCAAATTGTTGCTGTGCCAAGTGCTCCTATGAGAGACAAGCATGTTGACAAGCAAGGGCAAGAAGATAATCAGAAAGCAAACCAACTAATTTTAAAATTGTAATAACCTAGGCTCATTTGACTAGATGAAAATAGCTCTATGTTAATGGATATTCAAAATGATAAGTTTGAACTTAAATAAGTTATGTTCAGCATTTTCTATTTAAGAAAATTATAACATTTTAGAAAGATCTCTTCAGCGTGTTTAATAACAAAAGACAGATATTTGGCATTTGCAGGGGCTGCATTATCCTATATAATAAAAGCCCAGCAACCGAAATGGTGGAATGACCAGAGACCAGAATGACCACGGCCCTTCACCCCAGCCGGCAGCCCCCCAGCAAGTGGTTAGGGGCGATCAGGCAGGCAGGCAAGCAGTTAGGGGCGATCAGAGAGGCAGGCAGAGTGGTTATGGGCAATCAGGCAGGTAGAGGCGGTTAAGGGTGATCAGGCAGGCAGAGGCAGTTAGGGGCGATCAGGAAGGCAGACAAAGTGGTTAGGGGTGATCAGGCAGGCAGGCAAGTGATTAGGAGCGATCAGGCAGGCAGGCGAGCGGTTAGGGGCCAATGGTCCTGGATTGAGAGAGAGATGTCCTATGGATCGGGCCTAAACCAGCAGTTGGACATCCCCCGAGGGGTCCAGGATTTTGAGTGGGTGCAGGCTGGGCTGAGGGACACCCCCCACTCCACCCTTGTGCATGAATTTCATGCACCAGGCCTCTAGTAGAGTAGAAAGAATATGGATTCTAGACTAGTAAAGACAGGTTTGAATATGGCCCCCAGGATCTATTACATGTTCTATAAATTAAGTTTATTATTCATTCCAAACTTCAATCTCATCTGGAAAATAGGAATTTACTCAAGAATAAAGATAATGTAGGTAGATTTGCCTATATTAGGTGATAAGTAATAACTATTATTATTTCATTATTACCATAAAGCTCACTCTACTTTGAATGTTTTAATTGTACAGGTAATCCATATATATATATGGGGGGGGGGAGATATTAGGATATGTATATCACCAAAAAGATAAAAGGAGTAAAGTCGCCTATATTCTTCTACTACTGTCAATATTTTAGTGGCATGCTTTATTTTAAAACTGCTTTGACAGGATGGCACTTCTGAGAAGTGATTGTTGAAACTACTGTTGGGAAACTTAAATTAGTCACTACACATTCTAATCAGAATATATGCAGTGAAAGATGGTTACAGGGCACAATGCTGATGTGCAGGAAACCTTAGTCCTGATCAGTTTTCTTGCATGAAAACCAGTTTTGTAGAGCATTGGATGTAACTTGGTGTTCTGGA